GAATAAATAAAGAAAAACTGAATAAGCAAGAGATATACAATGTCTATGGATCCAAAAATCCATTATTTGTATAATGACAATGTTAAAAAAAAATTGGGATATACCATGAAGGAAGTCTTACTAAAATTTGGCTAGCTTTTATTCTTTAGAAACTGACACATTTGTTCAGGAAGTCACTGGGGGATAAAGGACAAAACAGTGACACAATGGCTTAATTGAACTTCCATAGTTTCCACAAAACTGGGATGTGTAGACAATGTGGTGTTGGTCAGTATTAACAAGTAGGCCACTAAAACAGAAGTGTTCAGAGGTACATGGTCCAATGGACCAAAGCAATTCATGTCAAGTCAATAAATGCTCACATAAGAATTGTGTATTTGTGTTAAAAACATCTCATACTGTAATCTAAAAGTAAACCCCAAAATGCTATAGACCTATGGATAAATTATAAAATTATTAAGAACTTAAAATATAAAAGAACTCTATGATATTAGGGAAAAATTCTTAGGACTCAGAGCCCAACACTTAACATGAGAAAAATGATAGACTTCATTTAAGTTTTGAAATGTTGCTTTTAATAAAATAATTTTAATAAAATAAAAATTCAAATCTGAAAATAGTAAAATCTATTACAAAATTACATATCTGACCAATGACTCATATCAATAACACGCTAGTATTTTTCAAAACTGAATGGGAACAAATAATTCAATTAAAAATTGAACAAATTTAAGCATCATGAATATCTGTAGTCCCAATATTTGGGACATATTGATCAGAAGTTCAAAGCCAGTTTTGGCTTCATAGTGATTTCTAGGCCAGCATGGGCTACTTGAGACCCTGCCTCTAAAACACAGAAGATTTAACCAGGTTCTTCACCAAAGAAAATGGCCAATAAACACATAAAAAGATGCTTAGCATGGTGCAGCAACAGAAAAATTGAAACTAAAAGCAAAATGCCTATGTATTAGGATGTCAAAGTTTTCAAAATTATAAGGATGTGTTGGAAAGAAGGTACAGAAGTAGAACATTCTATTGATAGGGATTTAAAATAGTTTAAATACTTTGTCGATCTGTAATTTCCTAGTTATTTCATAAATAGTACCATTATTTACCTACATGTGATCCAGTCTTCCTACTTCAGGGTGTTTACTCCCAGGAAATGAAAACACGTGTTAATATAAAACATCACTCAAGAATGAACAGAGAAGCTCTATATAGAATATCCAGGGCAGAAAAAATACCAATAACCATCAGGTAATGAACAAATAAATGGTTTGAGGCATATCCGTGTAGCAATGCCACCCACCAGTTGCAATCAAATATTGATAAGCAGCATGGGGGAATGTCCAAATGCATCCAGATAGAAGGAGCTAGATTTTTAAAGACTGTGCTAAATTATTAACTTTATAAAAGATCGTGTAAGTTGCAAATATAATGTTGGAAATAAGATGAATGCTTAGAAATAGAGGAAAAGGATGAAATAAAATTACAGTGTATTTGCTACTTTTATTGTGATGGTTTCAAGGTTGTATAGGTGTCAAAATGTTTATTACCTCAGTCTGTACAGAAGGACCCATGTTCAATCCCTAGAATCCACATTTAAAAACTTTAGCTGAGGAAACAAGTCCCAGTGTCATTGTCAATGGCTTTTCAGAAAGACCCTGAGCCAGCCACATTCAGAGAATCCGGCCACATTCAGAGAATCTGGCTGGATCACGTGCTCGTTCAGTCCCAGTCCAACTGGCCTTGGTGAACTCTCATTAGATCAGTCCCCTTGTATCAGTGGGTGAACGCACTCCTCACGGTCCTGCCTCTCTTGTTCATGTTCTCCCTCCTTCTGCTCCTCATTTAGACCTTGGGGGCTCAGTCCAGTGCTCCAGTGTGGGTCTCTGTCTCAATCTCCATCCATCAAGGGTGAAGGTTCCCTCTGATCCTGCCTTCTTTGCTCACGTTCTCTTTCCTTCTGCTTCTCGTTTGAACCTAGGGAGTTAAGTCCAGTGTTCCAATGTGGGTCTCTGTCTCTATCTCCATCCATCGCCAGATGAAGGTTCTATGGTGATATGCAAAATATTCATCAGTATGGTTATGGGCCAAGGACGGTTCAGGCACCCTCTCCTCTGTCCAGAGAACAATCTGGGGATCTCTCCTTGGACCTGGGATCCCCTTTATATACTGGACTTTTGGGATCCAGTCTGTTTGGATGCTCACCTTCCCGGAACTGGAGGGAGGGGGAAGGAACTTGAACTTCCCACAGGGCAGGAAACCCTGACTGCTCTTAGTGATGGAGAGGGAGGAGGAGAGGGAGTGGGGGGAGTGGGAGGGTGTTGGGAGGAGGGGCGGAAATGGAAACTTTTATAAATAAATAAACTTTTATAAATTAAAAAAAAGCCTTTAGCTGAGCGCAGTTGCTTGTGCTCCCAACGTTGAGGAAGCAGATCGTGAGTTCATAGCCAGTGGGAGACTGTGCACAAAGACATATAGTGGCAGTACCTAGGGATGGCATCTATGACACCAGAGGGTGTACTTCATCAGCCTCCACACATGCGCTCTCTCTCTCTCTCTCTCTCTCTCTCTCTCTCTCTCTCTCTCTCTACCAAAAAAATATAAATATTCTTATTTTTCTTTGGTTTGCTTTCTTTTTCCAAGTTTTAACTAAGTTGCGAATGACCCATATTACCTTCATGATTCAGGATTGTCAGCCTGAGATATCTTGCTACAATAATATTTTTATCTCCCAAGAGCTACTCTACCCCCACACATTTTACCTCGCTCCAAATTTTCTCCCAACACTGCTTAGCTTCGGAGGTTAATTAGAAAGATCGGGTGTGTCCGGGGTGGTAGGGTCATATACCCTCTCCAGTTGCCTTGGAATCCTAAGCTTTAAAATGTTCTCTTCTGTTAGCTTTTTTGTCTTGTTCTCCATTGTCAAACAGATTGTCTGCTGACTTTCTTTTGTTTATATGTCTCCATAGATATTTGCTATACAGCTTCTCTTTGTAATATCCTATCTTTAATCTCTTTGAGCTAGAAAACTTAAAGTCAGGCAAATGATGATATGTATATTATAATAAATATAGAACCTGTTTGGCTAACCTGAGGTTTGCTTTCTTTCCATAAAGCACATGGAATTTTAGTCAAATACATGGAATTCATTTATTACTGTTATTTTAACTTTATTTTTTTTAAAGATATAATCCAGTCTGGCCTTGCTGCTCATCTACCTCAGCATTTCCTACGTTTTGCACCACCATAACCCATTTGTTTTCTTTTTTCACGGTTATTTGCTAATTTTTGAGTTAATATGCAAAGTAATTGGCTTCAATGTGGCATTTTCACAGCTACTTTGTTCTTGTTCGTTTCTATTTCCCTGCCTCATCCTTTCCCCTTCTCATGCTGGTCTCTTTATTTTCCTAATAATCCCACTTCCTCTTTCCTGCCATGTACCTGTCACTTCCTTCTGTTTTCCTGACTTTTATCTCCTCTTAAGATTGTTTATCTTATGGGCTTCTCTCTAGTTCTCTCTCTCTCTCTCTCTCTCTCTCCCTCTTACAATCACACACACACACACACACACACACACACACTACTATATATACATATATATATAAATGTGTATATATATAGTGGGTATATAATATATTGTATATGTATATTAAATATAGTATAATTTTTGTATGCATGTATATATGATCCATTAATGAGAGAAAATGTGTTATATTTGTCCCCTCTGACTGTTATCATATTTATTTCCTAAGCTATCAATTTTATTACAAATTTCATAATCTCATTTTTCTTTATAGCTACATAAAATTCCTGTATACATATTTGTCACTTTCTCTTTACACCAAGTACAACTCAGTGTTTCATGTCTTTTGTCCAAAATAAATGATACTTGAGTGGTGTTACTACCTCAATTCTGAAGATAAATCTGGATCTAAGAATCTCCTCTTTCTAGAAATTCCATAGAATTCTTGTCCAAGATTAACTTTTCAATGAACTTTTTCCATTTTTATTTATGCATATGTTTCTATCATATACTTTGCCATATATCTTAACATTGTATCATTGATCTGACTCTTGTTCAGTCAAGTACTTAAATAAAAACTTGCATGAACACATTAAAACTAATTTGGCCATAGCATTACCACATGCTGTCATTTCTCCTAGTTTTGTGCTGAAACAACACAACTGAAAAATTGTATTTTCAGGATGCTGACAGTGCCTTTGAAGAGTGTCATGTCTAGGATAAACCAAATTCAGATACTTAAAATTAACTGTAGGCAATTAAAACTCTCCAATCCTTTGAACTCTGAAATATGTTCCCGTTTAAAATTTACACATAAGATCCTATTTGATTCACCTCTTGGGATCTATGCATTGTGCAATGGCTTCTAAAAAGCAAACTCTGTTTAGATGGATAACTAGACAGGAAGCGAAGCGATCCCTTTCCAGTTATATTATTTTTATGTCACTCTGTTCATATCTAATCCTGAACTAATATATATTGGCTAGAGGTCCCCAGGTTCTAAAATTTTCAATTAGAAGTTCATATTTTGCAATGGTACTTAGAGATTGTTTGAAAAGAGATTAGTTCTTGCCTCCATTTCAACACTGAGAATGTAGGAAGAGCTTTCTGGTCATCCTGTAAAAACAGAACATGGTGAGAGGTAAAGTCAATGGATGTTTTTAGTTCCTACTTTGCTTCACTCATAGTTCTGGCTACTAAGAGATGCTGCTGCTCCAACATTTTCGGCTTTCATTTATGGAATTTCAAGCACCTCATCAGCCCCACTTTCTCTACCTATCTTAACAGTACAGGCAGGTTTCTGCCCCAACATTTCTCAACCCACACAGTAAACAGCTTCTAGTCATGAACTATGCATTGAAAATCTGCAACTCTAAATGCATAATGCTTAAAGTAAGCTCTGTATAGCTGCTGCCTTCTAGGCCCTACCCCTATATGATTTAATATGTAGCCCCCTTTCTTCTGTCCACAGGCAACAAGTCCTCAGGGCTTATTAAAGGAAGATGCCAAAGGCTCCCTTCAGAAAAGCTTCAGGATCCTTAATGAGGCCAAGAAGTTAGAAAATGATGTGAAAGGTTAGTGTGGCCATTCTTTCTATTATGTTAAGGTTAATAGCATTATAATGGAAAATACTACACCATACCATTTAAAGAATGAAACTGTGAGCCATGACTTATATATTTAATGCAAGTGACCTTTCTCACTGGCCTGATGACACTTAGTCTTCAAGCTTCACCAAGCAAAATTTTATAATTTTAACCTAGCTCCTACAGTATTGCTTCTCCTATCTGAATTGAAATTTTCGGTGTGATAAAACTTTAAACTGCCAAACTCCACTTGATGTGGTTTTAGAAATAAAACTCAAGAAAAGTGAGCTAAGAGGATGTGGCATAAATGTGTTAGTGAAACCTTTGGTTTTGTCAGTGGGTTCTGAAGTCTTGCAATATTTACAAAATAATCATGTATTTTCTTCTTAATTGAAAACATAAAACTGCACAAAGCAATTTCTGCTCTGATATATTATTAATGTGTGTAAACATGGTTGCTGTCAGTGTAAGCTATTGTAGCTATCACTTCATTGATTGTCGCCTGTTTCTCAGTACTATTTTCCTGTTTCTCTAGTCTCATGTCATCTGGCTTGCATCCACCACCCAAATATTGCTTATGTTGACTCTCACAATGTTCTCTTCCCAAAGTGCCTTGTGTTTGTAGTGATATTCTGTCTCCCTAAAATTACTCATTCTCCTGCATTTCTTCATCTACACACCTTATAACAGAGCATCACACTGTATTTCTGAGATCTCATGGATGCTGGGTAGAAAGGGCAGGAGGATGGCAAGTTCAAGAAAGGCCAGACTACATAAGTACTTGATCTGGGGGCACAGGTGCTGGTAGAGAGCTCACCTACTCTACACAAGGTCCTAGGTTCCATCCCCAGTTCTTCACTCCCTCCGTCCCTCAATCAATTAATCAATCAATCAGTAATTAAATAACTGTGAGACTCTGAATGAAAAAAATAAAAACAACCTTTGCCTAGATATCCTCCCTAAGAAACAATAATGTCTAATTCACACTTAACCTGCTAATTCAGTATTTCTCATAGACCTGTCAAACCATTGATATTATGGACTTTATATTTCTCAAGAAAGACATAAGACTTTTTTACCATTGAACTTATAATGTATCACATCCTGCCTAGTTCAAATTATGAAATAATTACTGATTTTAAGTAAATAATAAATTATAAGTAAATAACCACAGATTTTTTAATTAAGTTTTACTGTGTTAGAAAACACGAAGTGTGAAACCTCCTAGAAATGGCATGCCAAAAAGCAAAATATCTTGTACGTCCTTAGCAACTGATATGGAATTACAAGAGCCATCTCTATTACAACTCACTTTGATACTAAAATGCTGTAGACTGCATCACACAAGCTCCCTGTTACAAAGTTTGGTTGTGCTGATACCTCTACTGCAGCAAAAGATGACTGTAAAGAGGCATGGATGGTTTTCTTATTGCACAAGCAGAATGGACCCAATTCGTCTGCAGCCATTTTTGCTATCCTCAGGGCATTGAAGTTCATGTACAAATACAGAACCAGACTCTGTCTTTATTCAAACATTTGATGTATTATTCTTCATCAAACATTTGATGTATTTTCTTTGTACTAATTTTGATGTTGTAAAAGTTGGGGTGACTAGTGGTAACTACCGCTTGTGTATTGCTCATGACACCCTGGATTCAGACCCTAGATCCTCATACACTGAGGATTGCACACCTATCATCTCAGCAGGGGAGACGTAGAGGCAGGAAGATCAGAAGTTCAAAGTCATCTTTGGTTACATAGTAAGTTTGAGGCCAGCCTGGGCTAATGAGATCCTGCCTCCAAAATATATCTATTCTATGAAAATACTCCTGAGTACTGAGTTTGTGGGTGCTCATTCAGATTTCACCCCTAAACCGAGTGCTTTACACACTTTACATTGTTTCCAGGACTGTTCTTAACTCTCTTTTCCCTAAATCCTAATATTACATATAAAAGGACACAATTTCATTTGTTTCTTTTGGAAAATCTGAGGACTAGGGTGATAGAAAGGGTTAGGAGACAGAAATGTTCATTAGTTTAAATGTCTTTTTTTGTACTTCAGGTAGTACATTATTTAAAGTAATGAAAACCCAGCAACTACTCAAGCAATAATTCCCACAGAAAACCAAGCCAAGGCCATGACGGAAATGGGAATGTTTTCTTGCTACGTTATGACATTCTCTTGATTTGTGGCCAATTACACAGGTTATAAAATGGCCGTTAATCAGGGAAATGCCATATATTACCACGAGGAACTGCTGAAATAGGCCCTGCAGAGCAAAACTCTTGACAGCAGCTATTAAAATAGAGATTTAGTCATTTCTCTCTCTGTGGCGCCCGGAGTTAGATGGAATAAAAATGGTGGGCCAGCATGCCCTCCATATTTCTAATTTGTTGCTTGTTCAAGTCAGTGCAGCTCCGTTTGTTCCTGTACTCTGGTCACAAATGACTTACTGCTGCTCCCTGCCATTTTTCTGCTGTCCTTGCCTGGAGGGAGTCTGAACGTGCCAGCAGCCATTTGTTTTGCTTTTCAATTTTTGAATATACATCTGTTAAAAGTAAATTTGCCCATGTACATGTGTGAGCTTTGACAGCAATCTATAATGCCCTAGCTGAATGTCTGTGGAGATGAAAATCATTTTGTTGATGGATTTGAGGTGGGGGACTAGCTGATGATTGAAAGGGCCAGAAGATGAATTAATGTCACCAAGTCAACACCGCTTTGCAGAGGAACAAGAGGTTTTGTCAATAAAATAATCAGTTGGGGTTTCCCTAACATATGTGTAGGGCAAAGCATGAAGAAGTTAATGGAAAACTATGTAAATTCTAAGATTTTGTGTCCTTCACCTCATTGAAGTCACTTTTCAATTCTATTCACTTTCTGATTTGCCTCTAATTGTTGGCTTTGCCCAAGGTAAGTGAATTGAATTACTTATGAAAATAAATAATTGTTCTATATACTAAAAATTAATGACATGAAAAAATGATTATCCTAAGCTCAAGAATAATAAATATATGAATAATAAATCTGAGATTCCAAGATATACATTACTGTTCAATATAAGAAACAGGGCAAAACTATGTTTCTATCAAAGATGTGGGATTTCCCTCTGTATGCTACGAATATGGTTTATTTATAGATCCTGTTATTATTTTATATTTTAAAAGGTTTTATTTTATTTCATTGTCTATTTTATACCATTGTTGATAAATGGAAATACTTTGGGACTATTAAATATGACATAGGAGTTTAATTTTTATTAAATAATTCATAAATTATTAAAGTTGTCACCTTTTTGAATTCATATACTATTATTTGCCTGCATCAGCTTTTCTGCAGGTGCATGTGTGGAAGCAAACAAAATCTGAACCATTGACAGAGATTTGGCAATAAATAGATGAAATTGAGTCTCTGTCCCCTGTCAACCATGCTCTCTCATCTTTTCCCATTAAAATTGCTGATCTATTGTACTGAATTTGTTAACCTGCTTTGGATATAGACAATGAAAAGCAAAAGAATAGGACTGAGATGGAGTCATGTTAGAAGGAAAACAGAAAAATAGTAGCAGTATGGAGGCACTAGCCATGGAATGATCTTCCCTAAGAGTGCGACTTAGCAGGCAGGTCTCTGCCTCAGTTTGTCAGCAAATCATCATGAAGTTCATGAGTGACACCTTAGCCAGAGACAGGGGCCTGCACCAACCAAAGGGGTGTCCTCCCTGGAAATGACCTGGGCTTGGTCCCATGTTCAGAACCAGAATCTAGGATTCCAGGAGATGGGAGGAAATTTACTAATCAGTTTAGTTATCATAGGGATAAACAAATACCTTCAACTTCCTGATAATTCAAAGAATGATGAGGCTTGTATGAAATCAGAGAAACTGTCCTATTTAAAGGTTTCAAATGCAGTTCCCTTGCTGGCTAACACAAATCAAATCTACAGGCTTTTCGTCAGGAATACAGTATGGGTCTCAATTCTTATTTAGTTTTATTAATCTAGGTACAGACAGAACTACCTCTACCTCCACATCTTAAACATTTAGAGAACCTATCATGAGACACATACCTCTTCCCTCCTGTCAGAACAAGACTGTTATGATCCTCTAGTGGAGGAAGGGCACAGAACTTGTAGTTAACAGCTGTCTGTGGTCTTTGAATCACTGTACCCATTTCTGGAAGTCCTAATTTGGATGCTTTCTGATTCATCAATAAGTACTTTGTAAATAATGTGAAATGTACAAAAATATATAAGATCAAAATAACATAAGAAACTGCAATAAACACCTTATATTTAAAAGGCATCTTTTTTTTCTTGGGAAAAAATGAGTAAACCACAAGATTGTGATGAGACTCATAAGATGTTATATACTTAGTTCAGGAAGCATTGTGGGACACAGGTGCTCTGTCATGCAGAAGATATGATAGCTTTTTTCTGATTTATTGTAAGAATTGATTAACAACACAGCAAATACACAACTTGAAAGTCCCGTGTATCTGAAGAATTATAAAATTGTATACCTTAGATAATCATATACTCATGTGATGTCTGTTTTATATGTAACATATAAGTTACAAATTACCATATCTAATGCATTTTATGTATATAAATGGACTTGGTTAGTATCAATTCTGGATAAACAACTTCTGCTAAGATCATATGGTTAATAGACCCTTTTCTCTTAAAATTATCTTCTAGATAGGTAAGAAAAGAAAACTCTAAAAGAGTAAAGAAAACAGATTCGTCATTTGAGTTACCATAAGCTAAATCTTTACAGGTTGCCTTAAATTTTTAAAGGAAGATCAGAGTACTAAGGGTTTATGCTAACCTCTCCAGCAAACATTTCAATTTTGAACTTTACATTATTAATAGTCATGTTTTGTAACCCTCCCTCCTGTATAATAAGATGTTGCCTAATGTGCATGACATTCTGTGTTCAACTCCCAGCACAGCCAAATAAAAAAATGAGAATAAAAATAAACAAATAAAG